GGGAGATCCTTGTACAATAATCACCTCTAGCAGGTGAGTTGGTGCTGCCACACATCCCTGATCCAGGTTACACTTTGGATTTCTTCTAACATGTCCTCTGATTAGCAGGAATGGCTGCAACTCTGAGGTTTTTCCTCCCCACCCCAGAAAAAAACCAAACCTCTGGTGGTTTTAAATTTGAAGGAGTCCAGCAGGAATCTGCTTTTGGATCTCCCATTCCCACTCTGCCCACCTGGAGGAGCTCAGGCAAACAAACCCAAAGAACAGATCTCTCATACACTGATGTGATATTAGAACTTTTTTTTTCTTTTATTACAAAACATGTTAAGAGAACATTGAACAAGTTACATACAACATCACTTTATTTTGAGGGGGCTTTGTGCCCTTTTATCACACTGTCCATGTGGTAGAAATGGCAGATAACTTGCAGAATGCTTTAGTCTTAGTATTGCACCATTGATGCACAAAATTTAGTTGCTAGTCAAAATATTTGACCACTCACTTGATAATCACATTCCAATACTCAAAAAGAAAAAGTACATCTAAATGTACCAGCAAGCCAGAGACATCTTGGAAACAAAAAAACTTCTAACAAACCTGAGAATGAAACGTGTTGATCTTGTCTAACTCTTTGCTGTGACTTCCTAATCTGTAAGAAAAATGCCAAATTAATGCTGTTAGCTTATTAAATTTATCCTTTTCTTTTTCTGAGAAAGATTATATTGGGAGGGCCTGAGTGATGGGGGAAACAATTAGTTCTATGTGTAATAAACCTGGATTCCATTCAATGAATCCAAAGGAGGATTTAGATTTACAAGAGAAGGTTGAAGTCTGTGCCAAAACACTCTCACCTTGTTTTCTGCAGGCTCCCTATGTGGATGTGATTTGTGTGAACAGCTACTTCTCCTGGTACCACGACCCAGGCCACCTGGAAGTGATCCCACTCCAACTCACAGCCCAGTTTGAGAACTGGTATAAAACCTACCAAAAACCCATCATCCAGAGTGAATATGGAGCAGACTCAGTGCCTGGGCTGCACAGTGTGAGTGTTGTGGTGGAAACTGCTCTGAGAAGGCAGAAAATTGTAACTGGGAGAGGCTGGCACCACTGGGCCTGGCTTTGCTGGGAGATGCTCCAGCTGGGAGTGTCCAAAAGGCTCCAGGATTGGGATCCTGCTCCCAAAACCACAGAGCTTTGCCACTCACTTTATCTGCTAAAGAGGACTCCAAAATCTGTCTTTGAAAATGCTACAATGCTTAAATGAAAGCAAATCCTGGAGGATGGAGGTTCCTGGTGCTGTCCCGTGCAGGGGGGTGGCACTGCTGTCCCTGTCATGACACAGGCCACCAGGGGAGCTGGCACTACCTGGAGTTGTGTTTGTGATGGTCACAAGAGGCAGCTCAATGCAGCACAGCCAGCAGAGCAGGCAGCCCAGAGCTGCTGCTCAGGGGTGGCTGTGAGCCCGTGGGATGGGGTTCTTTGTGCCCTGAGCCTGCTCCCCTGGCTCTCCTGGCAGGACCCCCCCATGATGTTCACTGAGGAGTACCAGCAGGCCCTGCTCAGGGGGTACCACTCTGTCCTGGACAAGAAGAGGAAGGAGTACGTGGTCGGGGAGCTCATCTGGAATTTTGCTGATTTCATGACCAATCAAGGTGAGCTTTTATTTATATTCTAAACACCTCTCCATCCTCCCTGGGAGCTTAGTGGTTGATGCCACACAAACACTGTGCTGAAGGGTGGGACAAAAGGCCCTCTGTTCACCAGGACAGAGCACAGCTGGTTTTGTCACAAAATCCAGCATGACCAGAGCCAAGAGGGAAGGTCCTGCCTGTGCTTAATTCCTTTCTCCTGCACAGATGCTCCCAGGAACATGGGACCATGCACAGGGGAAGCTTGTGAGGGACCCAGATTGCTCCTGGGTTTTGGCCACCCTCAATTCAGAGCCTCAGGCAGCTGTCAGGGCCATCTCACTTGCTTCCAGTGTCACCTACAGCTGCCCTGGGAACAGAGCACCTCAAATAATCATTATTTACTTGGCAGAGTTCAGCAGCAGAGGAGCAGATGCCACGCTGGCACACAGCTGTCTCACCATGACTCTCCACTCATTATTAATAGATAAGTGCAGTCACAAAGGAAGGGAAATTCCTTAGTTTACAGTGCAGTCCCACAGAAGTGAAACAATCAGTAATGAACCTGTTCTGCTTATGCCACCTGCAGTGGGTTAGGTGAGCAGTCAGGGGGAGGGAGGAACAGCACTAAAACACCCTGCAGAGCACCAGGACAGGCATTAGAGAGCTCAGGGATGGCAGTGCCCAGAAAAGCAGCATCAAAAAGGACTGAGAAAATGTAGACAAGGTCAGACACAGATGCAATTCCAGTCTCTCTACGTGTTGCAATCCTTTTATCTAATTTCCTGTGAAAACTAAAACAGGCAGAAAGGATCCAGACACCACACAGGACAGTGAACAGGCATCACATTTCCTCCATCCAATCTGAAGGTGGAGCCAATCACCAGTAGCTAGGACACTGACAGTGGGCACACCCCAGTTAAGCTGTAAAAACAAGAACTGCAGCTGATTGCTCTGTCCCATGCACGGATCCTGCCACGCTTCCCTGCTCCACCTGACTGTGCAAAGAAAGTGCAGAGGTCTCTTCCACCTGGCCCCATTTAGTACCTACATTGTAACAGCTCAAACAGGGCCTGGAAGAGCCTGGTTTATACATTTCTTTTATTTTGTAACTTCTCTGCAGGGACCACACGAGTTCTGGGGAACAAGAAAGGAATCTTCACCCGCCAGCGCCAGCCCAAAGCCGCTGCCTTTGTTCTGAGGGACAGGTACTGGAGGATTGCAAATGAATCAAGCTGTCTTCCTCCTGTAATGACATCACATTCCCTCTTCCTCAAATGAAAACAAAGGGTTCAGTGGCTGGGGATTATGTTGAACTCGTTATTAAATCTCTGTTTAAGTAAGTTTTATGCCTGATTCAAGTCTTGCAAGTCCAATGCGATTTCTAGTCCACCTGAAGTAGTTACTGTGATGCAAAGCAGATCAGAAACTTTTGTTTCCTCTGCTCAGCCACGTCTGGAGGCTTCTTGTTTCCAGGCAGGAAAACAAATATTCACTTTCAAGGAGCTGAAGTTAAGAAATCCTGACTGAGGTATCTGTTTATGGCAAAAAAATTACAAATATTACATGATACAACTCAATGCTGAACTTAAAAACAAAATCTAAGTTACTCTAAATGAACATCACATCCCTCTAAAGCAAATGAGGTTTTCCAGTTAAACTCCCCTAAGGGTTAAGACTATTGAGATCACAGCAAACTGTCCACAGGACTGCAGAGGAGCACAGTTTGTGCAGCTGCTCTGGCCTGACAGGATGGATGTGTGAGAAATCCTGAGCATTCCCAGCAGCCAGGAGGGGTGTGAGCCACCCAACAGAGAGTTTGGAATTCCTGTTCCAGCAGCAAGGTGGAATGTTACAGAGGGAGGGACTACATCAACTCAACCTGAAATCTATTTATTTTACAGTACCAAAACTGCCACTGTCAGACACAAACTGTCCAACAATGCCACTTCCCTGGGGAAGGGCTTCCTTCATATTCAATCTCAGCACAGGAAGAGCAGCCCAGAGGGAAATTCTGTTCCAAACTTGTCTGGGAGTGGCCTGAAGCCCTCTGGGGCAGGGCCAGGTGGAAATCCCTGTGCTGCTTCAGTGCTGTCCCTTTAGGCCTGCACCCCAGCCTAGGCCAGGCTTTAGCCCGGCATGGAGCACAGCAGCACCCACAGCAAAACTCAGAATATTCACTCTGCAAACTTCCCAGCACTGCCCCGAAAGCAGCAGCACAAGGAGCAGAACAACAAGAGCAGAGGCTGCCCAATGCATTTGGGGAGTTACAATTTGGAGTTTGGTTACTGGAATTTACAGATTCTGGGTGCCACTGGTGCCATGACTCCTGTTCTGCAGCTGCCTCTGTGTGAGAGCCTCAGGGAAGTGACCAAATCTGACCATATAAAGCAAAGATTTGCTTTTCTCCCGTGTGCTGGCCAATTCTGTTCCCTTCAGAGGTGGTACACGAGGAACCAGCAGCACCTTCCACCCTGCCCCAGCAGAATAAGGACCCAGATGTTCACTGCAGACTCCACAACAGTTTTTCTTGTGTTTTTAAGGGAAAAGAAACAACGCTACAGCATTCCTCACGCCGTGCTAGGCCTAGATTTTCTCTAGAACTAAAGCCCCAGAATATAAAACTATGCACAACACAAAGACAGTTGTTCAAACACACCATGGTACTGCCAGCTAGCAGTGTTTGAAAGTCATTTCAACTTCTCCATCATCCTTTAAAAACTCATTTTCTTCCCCAGTTTCAACAGACCTGACCCAAACACAGATGAGGATTTGACATTGGTCACTCCTTACAAACCCGGGCTCAGCTCAGCCCCCCCAAAATCTGAGCACACATTTGAGGGTTAATTCCTCTTGTTCTCAGCAAACCCTGCCCTGCCCAGCAGCTCCCTCTCCAAATCCAGGGACACATCCAGCAGTTTTTCCAGGGATTTTGTGGTCTGTGGGACCAGCTTTGAGCAGCCCCAATAAAGCAGAAAGTGATAAAAATCACAAGGTTGGGATTTTTTTTGTTGTTTCTTTTTTTGCTTAAAGAACTGTAAACATTGAAAGCCTCAAGTCAACGCTGCTCAGCCTTTACACACAATGCTCAGCCAGACACAAAGCTGCAGGAATTCTACTGGGAACACTGGGATCTGGGGAGAATCAAGTGCTTTAACCCTTCTACTGCTAAACACACACAAGGTCTTGGAAAAAAAAAAAAAAACAAACCACACGACTTGGTACAATTTCTAGAAACAGAATTACAGTACTGACATTAAAAACAGTTTCTAAGGCTCAGACTGAGTCCAAAAAGGCCTCTGGTTGGGTTCATTCAAGCTCTTATGTTTGGACTGCATGAATGCAGCATAAGAATGATTGCAGCAAGACATCCACAGGTAATTTCTACATTTATTTTTGTTGGAGTTTTTTTTTTCTTTTTTTTTTATACCAAAAGTTATGTGCAACAAATAGAATTCGTACATATTTACATGGTTTTTTACCTGTTAGCAAAATTGGATCCTAAACCTCCAGTAGAGAATCTCTCAGCCTATATTGAGAAAAGGAATATCTGCCCAATGACTCCATTTCAAATGGGTGTTGGATTTGGAGTTGAAAGCACTGGGAATAAATAGTTGATGGAATATACTATACAGAACAAACACCTAATACTGAGGCCATGCTTAACACAGTTTTGTGGTAACAGAACACTTCATGTCTTTTCTGTCAGTTTAAACAACACTGGCAGAACCAAAGCCAAGGTCTGATCCCAGCCCACATAAATCAGGGGCAGAACTGCCTGAAGCACCTCTCCAACCTCCTGGAACAACTGAGACTGCAGCAGCACAAAAATGCCAGCTCCAGCACTGAGAAAGCTCCTCACCAGAGAGCTGCTGTCACTTCACATCCCAAAGGTGCTCAGCAATGTTTCATTGGCCTCAGTGTCACAAATGTGTCACAGGAAGAAACTTCCAAGAATATTCATTTCCTCCTTGGCCTTAAAGAGTAGCAAGTACCTTACAGTAAGAGGATTTCAGGAATGGATCATTCCTAAGCAGGGTTTGGGATGAGGTTTTTTTGCCTTTCCAATCCGCCTCTCACTGTGAAATTTCCAACTCAGAATATTCCATGATCCTAAAGGAATTTTGGGATTCTAGAGAGCCAAAAGGGGCAGGAAGAGCCCAAATTCAGAACCTTTGTTTGGATACTGTGAATTTTATCCCTTCCATTCTCCTGAGTGTTGAAACCACAACGAGGATCTCTGTAACACCCCCTGTCTCTTGCCAGCCCAAATATCATTTACCTGCCTTTACCCAGACTCCTGCATCCTTGAGAAATGTTAGGATTTGCCTTTGGATTTGTAAGGGTAAAACCAGCATCAAGCACACATTTGCCACCACATTTGGCTGGGGCAGGCAGGGGGGCACAGCTGCACTCCTGATTTCCATCACAACCCATTTTACTGGAAGGAAGATGCTGCTTCTATCACTGGGAGCAGCAAGGAAAGAGTCAAAAGAACTGGAAGCAGAAAGGTCCAAATTTCTCCTGCTAAGATTATTCTGCCCTCTATCAGGCCAACTGCATTTCTGAAGCACAAGAGAGAAACAGAAGAAATCAGGGCCATTTCTAGCAAATCACTTCCAGTAAAAAGTAACTGCAAGGGAAGCACACAAGACAAGAGAGCTCACAATTAAGGATCAGATTTGCAAAGCTGTGCACAAAGTGTGGCTGCAAATTCTCCCAGAGCCCAAACTCCAGCTCCATTTGCTCCCCATGTGCACACTAACAAGGACTGCTGAAATCTGGCCCTAAACATTTGTACTAAACAAACTGAATCAACAGACTGCCCACACAAACAAGCACAAGACACAGTGAAGTTAAGTCAACACCAATACTTTCAGCTGATGGGGCTTTTTTTCCTCTTTTTTTCCCAGAAATTGGACCAAGTACTCATGGATTAGACTTGTCTCCATGGCTGCTTGCTCTGAGATAGGAGCAGCACGTGTTCACCTCTTCCTTGGATGAAAAAAAGATGCCTTTAGTGTAGATCACAGGAATGCATCAAAATAAAATCTATACATTAAACACTGCTACTGCCTCAGGGCTTGGGAGGGAACAAAGCCAAGCCTTGAGGGACCAATTCAACATCATTCATTCCCCTTAATATCAAAGTGGAAGGCATTTGAGAGACAGAACTAAACATCAAGACAAGCTTTAACTATACTCTGGTCAATACAAAACTCATTTAATGGATTGTTGGCTAAAACTGTCAGACGAGGGACAAGTCATTTAGTGTTACATGCAACAGATGTTACTCACACCACACAACTCTGTACACAAAAGCAGTTTCCACCTCTAGCCTTGGTATAAACCAGAATTAGCTCAGTAGTAATTGAAATATTAATTTTATGAATTCGATCTCCAACCTCGTTTTGCTCTATGGAAACACTGCTCGTTTCACAGTCAAGTTTATCCTTAGTGTTTAAAATCCACTTGCAATGGAAGTGGCTCTCTGACATTCATGTTTGAGAATGAAGATGCTAAAAGGAGTTAAATTAGTTCTTTAAATAAATGGGTATGCAGTCGGAATTCTTCATATTTCGAACTGACAAGGGCAAACAGCAGCACAGCACCAATTACAGAAAGTAGCTGAACCCACACATTTTGGTGTCACACAGTCTGAAACACAAATATTTCACTTTTCCAAATCACATCAAGCTTTTAAATTAAACTGAAAACAATACTGCTACCACTTCTCAGTCTAAAAACTAAAACCAGATCTCTTAATACTCTTCTATCCCCAGCAAGTTTGCTGGGAATTTTGTTTGTTCATTTTTAAAGCAAGGACACTTCTGCCTGCCAAGTTCAACACAAAGTATTTGGTTTAAGATTTGAAGACAGAAGGCACTTTTAACATTCAGCCTTAGAATACTGAGTGCAGAAACAACGTGTACAATTTTGTTCCTTTGTTAAAATATGCAGTTGAATTTTTTTTCCCCTAATTAGTTCTTAGAAAGAGCAATGATAGCACTATATCACATTTCATTTTCAGGAGCACATTGACTTATTTATCCCATTAAACAGGTTGCCCTTCCAAGAGATCTTCTCTGTGTGTGTGTGTCAGGCCTAAAGTTCATTTCCCAATATAGCACAAACCACAGATCCTGACCAAGATCAATTAAGGAACTGCTTTTTCAGTGCACTGCGTGGTTATCCTGCTCACTCAGTGGTTTCCACTGCAAATTGCAATTCTATCCTGCAGCATTCACAGAACATCAAACATTAGTAACACTGGCTGGCTGAGCACAGCTTCAAAAGGAACAGCTCTGCTTGGAAATGAGTCCTTTCAAAGAACACTTCATCCGACCCCCAGTCTGCAAATCAGCTTTTCATTGACCACATGAAGCTATTTTTGTTCTGTACAGAAATTAATGAGGTTGTCGTTTAATCAACATACTTCAGGTTTCAGCTTTAATTCCATTTTTGTTACTGGAGACAAAAAAAAAAAAAGGAAAAAAAAATAAAAAAGAAGAAAAAATGGAACCAACCCCAAGCATCATTCTTGTGAAATCACAACAGTGAGAGCAGCAACTCCATGTTCTTTGGAGGTCACTTCTTCCATCGTGTCAGTCGACTCTGAGCTGAACCTCTGACAGCTCCTAACCAACCCATGGGACAGTGAGTTCTCCAGGGATGAAACCAAGAGTTCTAATTTTATTTACAGTATAAGTCCTAGTCAAATCTAAGTCCATCAGCTAAAAAAAAAAAAAGAAAGAAAAAAAAAGAAAAAAATACACTTACTGTAAACATGGCAATATTAAATATGGTGATGCTAGTCTAGAATATTTCATGTCATGATCACATCTTGTTATACCTGAATTTATATACAGGATATTTTATAGCAAGTGTTACCCACTTCACAAGTGGAGGGGGAAGAGAGAGAGTCTAGGTTTTGCTGTGGCTAAAACTCCTTCCAAGTAAAGTTAAAGCTTGTCTTTGATTGTTATAGAGCTTTCTTTCAGAACCTCATTGAAACTGAAGATTAGCACAGAGAAATTATCTGGGGCCCCTTGAAATTTAGAATTCAAAATTTCCATTATGATTCTTGTGGGGGAAAGGGGGGCAAGAAGTGTCTGATATGGAGAATAAAAAAATTACTGCAAAATAAACTTAATGGAAGTTGGGTCTTCAGACTGTCAGTCAAAAGTTCCAGCAGGGGTTATTCCTGTTTGGGTTGGAGTTGCCTCTTCCAGGCCTCGTTCAAATAAACTAGTCGTTTGTAGTTGATGATAAAGAGAATGAAGTTCAGCAAATATGTGAGCACGCAGACAATGCAAAACTCCTTCAGCACGAAGTACAGAATGTATGCCAAGTACAGGGACCCTACTACAGACACTATGGAGGATGTCATGAGGATTAGAGCTGCTACTGCACTTGCTGTCATACCTGCAACAAGAGAGACAAAGTTACTCACCCCTCTCCACACAGAGCAAAACTGAATTCAAACTCAGCCACTCAGCAGCAGTTACACAAAATTCTGGTTAAAATAGCACCTGGGGATTTGGAGAGGAGTAGCTAAGGCTCTGTCTGACAGCCCTGTGACAAGGAGTGTGTGTAGGATTAACCATCTTCATATTACTGAGTTACAGGAAAATTTGTGGTCAAGTTATTTCTGTCAGGACTAACAGCTTTGTAGCAAACCACAGAGTTAACAAGAAATACACAAAATTGTATTTCATGCACTTTTTTTGCCTGCTCTCTCCATTACTCCTCCAAAACTTGCCCATTCCATTTTTATTCCCTCTCTTTTCCACCGTGCAATCCAATGCCAAATATACCAGAGTGAAAATACCAGCACAGAAACTGTCTTCACACTTGGATTATTAATAGCATATCAGGAGAAAGTGCAATTACTCTTGTTATCAGTTGGGTTTTTAAGCCCTTTGGACAGATGTATCATTAGAGTGCTGCTAAAAAAACCCAAGATATAAAAATCAGAAGCATTTATCTGGTTTCCTGCGGATTGTGCAATGGATATTGCTCTCCTCCTTCATCCCCACAGCCCTGCTTTACACTTGGGGCTCTGAAGTGAATGAGTACTTACCCAGTAGCATTTGTAGTATATAAAACACCAGGCCAAAAACACTGTTTGACTGATTTATTGCACTGTCCTTTCCAAAGATGGAACCCAAGAGACCGAATCCTCGACCCCATCTGTAAAACAGGGAAATGAATTAACTCTTGTTTGGCCACCTCCTGCTTTCCAGCAGCATTTCCAGTTCAGGGCTGTTGGGGAAAGAAAAGGACACATATTCTGACAGGATTTATGTGGAGTTCTGGAAAACCAAGCAGCAACAGGGGGAGCACTGGGCACAGCTTCATCCCACACCTTGCTGATGGAAGTTGTTTGACACAGCAGGAACTGCTGAGTTCACCCAGCTGGAGCCTCCCTGAGCACCAGCTCTGCTTCCCAGGGCTGGAGTTTGGAGCTGTTCTGCCACAGAAACACCTCCTTCCCCCAGTGACAGCTTCAGCAGCTCTCTGCACCACAGTCAGTTGGACACAAGGTCACTACAAAGCTGAGGCAAGGATTTGTTCCACTCACTTGTGTGCATCAGAGCAGGAGAACCAGGGCATAAATCTGTACCTGAGCTGCTCCTCCAACAGCTCAGGAGGAACCCAAATCTGTCACACACACGAGCTGAGGATGGCACCATCACAAGATCCTCGTTTGCTGGAGCTCTTGCACAGTGTGACACTCTGAACCAACACCTGAAATCCCTACAAAGTGACTTTCAACTTTCCAGTGATAAGGCAGAAAGCAGCACAAGCCCTACAAAACTGCTGCTGCAAAAGGAGGAGAAAAGATTAAATTAGCAATTGTGTTTGTGCCAGAAACCATTAATTCCATGCCCTAAGGCAGATCATGCCATTATTTGTAAAAGCAAAGTGAGAAGCCTATTTATTAGTGTCACTTGAAAATATGAAGTTATTTTGCTCCTCCAAGGTAATTTAACTCACAAGAGCACACTGGGATATCTGCCAGCAGATTTTTGGAGCATCAAGCCAAGCAAACAAATGTAAGGTTTGCTTCACATTAGCAGCTTAACTGAGCAAGGTTAAAAAGTGCCAATCCTCATCCTGCTGCAGCAGCAAACTCCAAGGAAAGTGCAGTTTTCAGGAAGTTTCCTGTCCTAGAGGCAATGGCCCTGCTGAGCCAAGACACAGCTCGGTCTGTCCCTGCACATGGCAGGAGTGGAGCTGATGTCACTCACCTGGGACCTGCCATCACCACCTCACAGCAGCTTTCTCACAGAAAGAGGCACCACAATGAGGACAATTTCATATCATCTCCAAACACTCTGTAGTCTCACAGCCATCTGTGCAAAACTCATCATTTTAATTGCAGACTACATTTGAATTTACTATTAATACCCTTGTGCTCTTCTCCCCAAGAAACCCAGCAGGTCCCAATTCTTAGAAAGCAGATTTACTGTGTAAACAGTCAAAAATTAAACATACTTTCAGCTAGTTTGGTCTCAGATCTTTTAAAAGTGAAACTTTTGTGCCAGTATTGAGCCTCAAGGCAGCACAGACCATGCTGTTCCAGGGGACAGAGCCCCAGCACCCCAGAGCTGCCAGGAAAGGCAGTGCAGAACTGCCTGGCTCTCTGCTCTCACCCCAGGGCAGCCCTGGGGCTATGGAAGTTACAAAGAATTACAAAGAATCTCAATTGTGGTCGGATTTCCTCCCACAGTTCAAATGGTACCTGGATTTTAAGTGAGAACTGTTAATTTTTTTGCCTTCCTTTGATAAGATGGTCACAGCACATGTAACAATTGTCTTGTGTTGTCCAAATTGCAAAGGCTGTATTAGAGAGCCACACAAACACATTAAAGAATTGATCACTTTTACATTGAATAGTTTATTTTTCTGTATTATTACATTTATAGGTGCTTCAGCCTGCCATCCACAGGTTCAATGTACTGTTGTGGTCTCCAAGTGAGAATTCATGTCAGGCTGACATTAAAATGATTTGAACACACTCAGGTTTTCCTGCACAACCCAAATTGGGCAAAGGTTCAGCATCAGCCTAACTCCAAGCAGCTGCAGGATGCTGAATCCAGCCCTACCTGAGTGCTCTCACTTCTGATCTTCATCACATCCTCTGGTGTCTGAGAGCAAACTCGAGCTCAAAATATCAGAACTGGCATTTTACAGAGCCTGACCTGCAGCTGCTCTGCAAGAGAATAATAAAATGTTGCCAGTGGAAGGATCATGAGTTCCAGCCCTTCCCAGGAGTCAGAGTCCTGGAGTGATCCGTGCAGAGCTGCAAGGTCAGAGCACAGGGAAAGCTTTTGCCACACGCAGGAGTTCATGAAGTGTCTTGTAGCAGCTTTGAGGACATCAAGTATTACATTTCAGCCCATGGAGCCCAGGGCTAAGCTCACATCTTATTCCACACACTGGGAGACAGCTAAGCAGCCTGGGCTTTAGCACAGAACACTTTTCCCAGCCTTATAAGGTTTGGAGTGGGAGCAAGTGCTCTGCGTCAGACTGAAAAGCAAAGTATTTAGACTTAATATATTTACTTTGCATACTCCCATTTCCCTGCTGAAAAGTCTAAATTGTCTCCTAATTTTATTAATGTTGTAAAACTCACAATGAACCAGGAACTTCTGCCAGCAAGTGGAGGAAGGATAAAAACTCAGTAGTTAGTGCTCATTTTCACACCAGACTCAGGTGTGAATTGCCTGATTAATGAGAACTTTCAAAGTCTAAAAAAATATGGCAAACAAATAGCAAGAAGAAAGTCCTAATAGCAAGATAAGCTGTAAAAAGGAAACTCCAAAGTATTTCATGTAACCTGCAATTTACAAAAAAACGTAATTTAGAAGAAGTGTTATCATTTGAATTTTATTTTTTTTTTAAATACAGAATGCTAAACCAAATGACCTGCAGGACGTACAGAGCTGCTGGCAGAGCAAGATAAAAGCAGAGGCTGATTTCTGCGAGCCTTTCCTGCTTCTGCCTGCTGGCTCCATCCCTGAGGAGCAGGAGCCCCGTGCTGATCCAGGTCGCTGTCACCCGAGGTGACTCAGAGCACTCTGACACACACAGCTGCCAAACCCACTTTCACCACACCCGAGTTTCACTGCTATTAAAATCCAAAGCAATCTCAGCTAATTACAAGGAACAAACCTTTAACCCAAAATCTTGGTAACTCAGTTTCCCTCCCTATCTGCATGGACCATTCTGAATGTTCTTCAAAATGTTAAAAAGTGATTCAAGAAATCAAAAATGAAGTGATTCATCTCCTTTCCCAACAACTACAACTGAGCACTGCAGTGACTTTCAGTCCAATGTCCACTGTCTTTTATCAAAAGGAGGTTTTAAAAGTTGTTACTAACCACCCTCTAAACAATGTCCCTTTTATACAACTGAGCACTGCAGTGACTTTCAGTCCAATGTCCACTGTCTTTTATCAAAAGGAGGTTTTAAAAGTTATTATCCACCCTCTAAACAATGTCCCTTTTGGTTTGAGGTACTTCACAAAGCTCAGCAATGTTGCATTTTCAGAAGTTTAAAACAGTATTTGTGTGCAATTGTTACTTCTTAACAGGAAGACAAAAATCATTGAGGCCACTGTGTTCCACAAGCGATGTACCTCCAATAAAATCTTACATTTTTACATCACTAAAATCACTTCAATCTCTTTTGCACAATTATGAACATCCTCTGTGTTCCAGAACAGCATATATGGGGACCCACTTGAAACATTTTAGCATAACTTAGCAGAGAAAATGCTAAAAGGGAACACAAAAACCTCATTTAGTCCACCAGCATCTTCAACATTTTAGAGGACAAGCAAACAACCTTCCAGTTGAACAAGTTACAAGCTCTGAGTTGTCAGCACAGGCTCCAAAAGCAGCAGAATTCCAAGCCTGCCAAACCCACCAAGTCAGACAAACCAAGCAGAAGGTGTTTGTTTAGCCAGGAGCTGGATCAGTGTCCCCTGCAGCCCCTGTGAGAAACGCTGGAGTGTTTCTGTAGCCAAGCCCCAGCTCTGACAGCTGCCTGCAGATGTTCTGAACAGGTTTGTCAAAGATCAGTCCCCAAGAGTGATGTTTGCTTGGCCTCCACTGTCCTTAAGGACCAGAAGCTGGGGTTTCACCTGCACCCACAGCTGGCAGCCTCCCCCGAGGCCCTGCTGGGTGGCCCGGGAGCTTTCTGAGCACTGACCTCAACAAGCAGCCCTGGGGATGAGCAGTCACATCCCCTGCAGTGCACCTGGCCAACCCTGGGGTTTTACACCCAGAACTGATCAACCCCTGTATTTCTATTCTAACCACGCTGGCTCAGGGCAGGCCCAGCATCACCTGGCCAACCCTGGGGTTTTACACCCAGAACTGATCAACCCCTGTATTTCCATTCTGGCACGGACAGAACCACGCTGGCTCAGGGCAGGCCCAGCACGCCTTGAAAAAAGGAGAATTGCCAGCTCTCATCCCAGTGAGATGGAGTTCCCCTGCTTGGAAATGCAATCAAATCCTCCAGGGGACCAGATTATTCACAGGCTTCTCTGCTCCCAAATCCCTGCATTTGTGCAGCAGCAGTTGCCAACACAAGTCTCTCTCAGTTGTTGGGTTTGGTGCAAAAGGGCAAACAGTAACAAAGATTCTGTACTCAAACTGCAAAAAGAACTCACATTTGGGTGGTTTTTGGGTAGTAGTAGTTATTTAAGCAGTAGTTACTTCCCTCATTTCAGGATTATTTACCATCCCATGATCATTATTTTGTTATCAACAGCAAGCACCCCTTACCACTTTGTAACCTACAGGAAACAATAAATCGAATTTTATCAAAAACAAAAAATAAAAAAGGCTACACTTGATAAGTGAGGTGCCCATTTCCTTAAGCAACATTGGACTTCTGAGATAATTTCTGGTCCAGAGTGAAAGTTCTCAGAGGAGAGCAGAGCTCACCCTCTGCCTTCAGTGAACAGCTCATATAAAGGTCAAAGGATCTGGAGCATGTTAAGAAACTTTGGTTGCAACTTCTTTCCAGCTTCACCAGAGGATTTTGGATTAAATCTAATTCATGGCTTCAAGGCCACTCTTAACAGTTTTAATAAATTAAGTAAAAGCCTTCAATTAGAAGCCACAAAAAAAGAAGATTAAAAATTCCCATTTGTAAACTTGCCAGGAGTGCTCAAAAGTGTTGATACACTTAATTTCATGTTTAAAACTATTAGCAGCATTTAGCATAACCAAATGAGGTTTTCTTCTATATATCCTCCAGCTCTGCTTCAGACAGTCTGTAAAAACTCTCAGTGTCTAGATCAGCAAAATATTAAGCAGACAGAGGATAATTATTTTATAGCAGCCTTTACAGAAGCACTGGCTATTTAAGATACAAGCCAACAGAACTGACTCCTTCTATTCCTTCCTTAATAATCTTTTCTATTAAGCTACCATAAGTGAAGTCCAAATCTGAATTATAAGCACTTTGTTAAATTTACTTTGCACCAGGCAAAATAATTCCTAGCCCTATTACAAATTCCAGCCAAACTGGAAATTATATATTTATGAAAAGCAAAAATTAACATGTTTGTGTGAGCACTGTAAGGATGGAAAATAAAAGATTCTCACAGCAGGAGCACTGCTGTGTTTTATAAAAGATGTGCCTCAGTCAATAAGTGTTGTATCAGTATTAAACCATCAATTTTCCACTAGAAAGATAAAATTAAAAAAAAAATACTTGAGTTATCAGCTTCTGCAGCTTTAAGAGCAACTTTAAAGCTCCAAGCTGGTTTCTACCAGCATTCCTGGAACACCTCCCCTCTCCAGCCCATGGAATCAGCTCTGGCTCCTCCCAGCTCACACCCTGTGCTCCCCTGTGCCAGCCCAGCTGGGGACAAGGCACAGAGAGCCTTGGCTCCCAGGGCAGCCTTTCCCTTCAGCACAGGAGTGACTCTGGCTTTCCCTCCCCTCCCCTGTGGCACTGAATTTGGCTCCTCCAATTTCTCCCTGCCCAATTCCAAAGCAGAGATTTTCCAAGCTTCCCTCAGGCAGCAAACCCACTCAATCCAGAATCCCTTTTTCATCTCCTAACACCTCACAGCAGTCACTAACACTTGCAGCTGAAAACCTCAAACATATCTGGATGTCTGCTTGCAGGTACAGCAATGAAAATAACTCACGGGATATCAGGAATTAATTATTATAAATATTAATAACTGCCACATAATGTTCTTTACTTGGAATTAAGCAAACTTGACAGACCAGAAGTTTACAGGAACTGCCCCACAACAGAACCATCAGCTTAGGAAGGTCTGGGAAGTTTTCTCCATGTGCCATTTCCTTGGACAATGGGGTTGTTCTTGTCACTTTGCTCCCTGTAAAGAGGCACCAGAACAGTTCCAGCAAGGTGTGCTCTGCCAGAAACCAGCACGGGGCAGTTTCACCTGCAGCTCTTAGAGCAATTCACACCCACCCTGCAGAGGAACAAACAACCCAACAGAACACAGGGTGTAAATTCAGTGTTTGAAGAGAGCAGAACCACACAATAACACCAGAGCTGTCACAGGCCACCCTTTCAGGCCTGCCCACAACACACCCCACACCTAACGGGCATTTTCAGCAACTACCAGGTGAATATTGTGGTGCATCCACAGAAAACACAAGGTGGCTGTGCAGCTTTTATAGAGGAAGGTGTCCCCACCCATGGCAGGGGCTGGGACAAGATGACCTTGAGGGTCCCTTCCAACCCAAACCACTGTGTCACACCAGACTTTTCAAAGTGCCTCAAACACCAATCCAAGACTTTGCCCATGAAGAGAACAGGGAATTCCCAAAATACCAACGACATCCAGGCTCCCAAAATGCCATTTTGACTCCAGAACTCCTTCAGCAATCAGGCAAAGATCAATATTGACTATTGCCAAACCCCTTCAGTGACGCAGCTGCAAATATTGCTAAAGACACCCAGGTGCCCTTTGCTCGCTTGTGCTGCTGTCTTGAGGCTCTCCTGCAGCACTCATCAATGCATGCCAGGCCACTGAAGTCATTCCAAGCCACTAATTTATCCTCCAGCGGTCTCCAATTCATCAAGACAGAAAGGAAGAATGTATTAGAAGATCCCAAAATCTCTCAGGGCGTGGAAAAGGCCAAAGCCAAAGGCTCTGGGTCTCTCTGTTAGCACTTAAAGGTCACATTTTATTTCGAGCTGTAGCATGACCTGTAGGACTGGAAATGTGTTTTATTACTTTAATTCCCACTGTGAAAATACAGCAAGACCAAAACTATTTTTCAGTCTAAAGCTATTAGCCAGTTAATGAAACAGCCAATTTCTACATAAAGCTCTTCTTGACAATTAATTATTCTCAACTATCAGACAGCAATTAATTTAAAATAAATACAGCAATTGCCATGGATGTGAGGTATTGCCCTAATACCTGCCATTATCAGCCACTCCTTAGCAAATTTTATTTTTAAACTATTTCATGAACTTTCCCCTTGATAAAAATTTGAAATATGCTGACCATTCATGTTTTGGGTAAGGGATACTGGGAAGGGATCTCTCCAACACAGCCCTCTGCATGAGTCAGGCTCTGATAGGAGATTTTCTGTGCTCCTCCCTCTGCATGCTGGCAGTCTTTACATTTCTGTTCTTGCTGTTGTGCCAGTGCCAGATCTGGCTTAAAAGCAAGACTTGGAAATACCAACAGCTGGTGAAAAAAACTCCGCCCAAAATACCAGAAAGTCAGCTCAGGAAGGAATCAACTAATTTATTCTAATTATTCTATGCATTTAAAATGAATCCTAACAGCATTAAGGGCTTTTTAAAGTTCAGGCCACTCTTGGAGTCAAAGCTCAAGATGTGAAGATTGCAACATTCCAAGTTCCATCAGCAAATCCAGTTTAAATGAAAAGTCACATAACCCAAGGAAGCATCTAAAAGCCAAAGTAGAAACAGAAGTTTCTCACCCAGTTAACTCTGCAAGTTAACTCTAATAATTAGCTAATCAATAATTTCTGACTGTCAGTGTAACAGCTCAATGAGAAAAGAAATGTGACAGTTAAATCTGAATTACCTATGAAAAAGCTGGAACACAAAATTGAAACTTTACAACCCCAGTGAAATCTAAAGTGTGGTTAAAAGCTCCTTTTAGAAATGAAGCTCCTGAGAAACTTTTGGTGATGTGGGAACAAGGAACACCCAGCTGGAGAAAGTGAGAGAACAATGGATGGGGAGCTGTGGCAACGTGGAAAACAAGATTAATTTCTTTCCAACTTTAAAGCCTTGCCCTCCTGCCTCACTTTCAAAGCAGAGCTCCCCCTCTGTGTCCTGCACAGCCTGGAAAGCAAATTCTTCTCCAAATATGGTTGGAGTGAGCAGAACTTGCACGTTCCTTCTCCACAAACTCCTTTCACCACCTGCTCCAGCGATCACGAGCTCTCCTGGCATCTGCAGTGCTTCACTCCAGGCATGGTTCTCCTAGCAACTGCTGGGAGATCTGAGAGCATTTCATCCCCAACTCCTCACATATCCTCCAGAATTCCTCCAGCAAAGGATTCCCAGGTCTTGCTCAACGTGTCAGCTGCAGCACTGCTAATGAACGCTGTAATTACCCAGCTTGGTTCCATAATTAGAAAGAATCCCAATTATATCTTTAGGTAATTTCCTTCTCCCAAGCGTTCAGTAAACACGCATCAAAACTGTGACATCCAATTCCCTGTCACAACAGCAACAGCAAAAAGCTGTTGGAGGACCAATTCTACACAAGAACAGGCTTCAATTATTCTCTTTTTACCCTGTATCTGTGACCAAAATTAAATTCCTGACGAGACTCAGGTGGTTTAATCTCAGTAACCTAAACATGATTTAATTTATATTATTTGAATTTATCTGGTGAGTTTATTGAAGTTTCCTCCCTAGTTAGAGCCAAACTTCTCATTTCAGGCCACTTCCCAAGCAGAGACATGAACAAGCACCTTCACAAACGAAGGTGCTTCTGACCTGAGGCAGACAGAAAAGCAGAGTTAAAGCCTTCACTCAACCACAATATCAGAGATCCAGATCTCTGTCACACAATCTCACTTCTGCCACCACAGAAGAGGATTTAGGAAAAAGAGCTCCCTGGATGTTTTGCCTCAAAAATTTCACAGCTCACAGCTTGACAGAGGATGAGAACACTCCCCCAAAGTGGCTTGTTATGATGATACAGCAAGTATCTCTCTAAAAACTGTGACAGCTTTTGCACAGGTTACACTGAGAGGGGAGAAAGGAAATCTCAAGCACTCATTGAGCTGAAGCCTCTAACACAATAACAACAAATTCTCATTAAAATAAAGAGGAAGGATTTAATACACAGATTTGCTCGAGAACCAGATTCATACAATGACTCTCCTAACAGAAACAAGAGCCCTTGGCCTTTGGAAAACAACTGCTGTGCTGGCTGGACATCTGCAAAATAAGTCAGGATTTGGACTGGGCTTGTGCTGCAGAGGCAGCCAAGTCTCCCTTGAACGAAGCACTTCCTCCGGATCACCAAAGCATCTCCCGTGCTGCCAGGAGATGTCCCAACGAAAACGCAACCCAGATACTGCAATTAGAGCTAACAAAGCGAACCACCCGCAATGTTTATGTTGTCCTTAACCACTGCTCACAGCCACAGCACTCCTCTCTCCCGAGCTTTTACCACTAAAACGCCTGTCACTCCACCTAATTGCCACTGATTACAACACAGCAATTGCGGGTGCCTCGCCCAAAATCCCCGTTCGCAGAGCGGCCCCCCAGCCGCGGGGCTGCCCACACCGGGAGCGCTGCCCCGGCCCCGGCTGCGCGGCCCCTCCGAGCGCCGGCCCGGCCCCCAGCACGCCCCGAGGCACGGCAGGCAGCACTCCGGGACCCGTCCCCGGCGCTCCCGCTGCCCTCAGCCCCTTCCCCCGGCGGGTCCCACCCGCGCCTCACCTGGAGGTGATGGCGGCGGAGCAGCGCACCCGCTCGCTGAGGTCGCACAGGGCCTGGTAGTGGCTGTCGCGGCCCTTCTCGCGCTCCAGGTGGCAGGCGTACAGGGACAGCAGGATGCCGGCGGCGCACACGGCGGACCGCGCCACCCGCTCCCAGCGCGGCACCGACACCCGCAGCAGGACGGGCGCCGCCATCTTGGCCCCGTCCCTCCGCCTCAGCCCGCGACGCGCGCCCGGCGCCGCCCCGCCCACGTGGCGCCTCGCGACGACGTCACGTCAGGCCTGGGCGGGGGTGGGGGGGCGCGGGGCGTGGCGCCCCCTGGCGGCCGCCGGGAGCCCCGGCAGAGTCCCCTCACGGCGCCGCCCCCGCCCCGCCGGAAAACAGCGGGAAGAAAATGGGCTTTTCAGGAGGAAAATGGATTTTTCCAGGAGGAAAATGGGCACTTAGAGCAGGAAAACGGGCTTTTCTGTAAGGAAAATGGGCACTTACAGCAGGAAAACGGGCACTTACAGCAGGAAAATGGGCTTTTCCAGCAGGAAAACGGGCTTTTCCACAAGGAAAATGGGCTTTTCTGTAAGGAAAATGGGCATTTCCATAAGGAAAATGGATTTTTCCAGGAGGAAAATGGGCATTTACAGCAGGAAAATGGGCTTTTCAGGAGGAAAATGGCCTTTTCCAAAAGGAAAATGGGGTTTTCCAAAAGGAAAATTAGCATTTCCAAAAGGAAAATGGGCTTTTCAAGAGGAAAATGGATTTTTCCAGGAGGAAAATGGGCAATTCCATAAGGAAAATGGGCTTTTCAGGAGGAAATTGGATTTTTCCAAAAGGAAAATGGGGTTTTCAAGAGGAAAATGGATTTTTCCAGGAGGAAAATGGGCATTTACAGCAGGAAAATGGGCTTTTCAGGAGGAAAATGGCCTTTTCCAAAAGGAAAATGGGGTTTTCCATAAGGAAAATGGGCTTTTCCAAAAGGAAAATGTGGTTTTCCATAATGAAAATGACCTTTTCCAGCAGGAAAATGGGCTTTTCCAAAAGGAAAATGTGGTTTTCCATAATGAAAATGGAACCAGGCAGTTCCTAAAAACGCAAAAAAAGTCTCCCCGGCTGAGGTGACGCTCAGGGATGATGTGTCCCCTCACGGAGCTGAGGTGCTGTGAGCCTCAGCCCCGCTCCCCAGGGCTTTCTCTGTGATTTTGGGCAGAATGCGCCCAACTCCCGCATCCTGCACAGAGCCCGGTGTGCAGAGGGGCTGTCACACTCACACACCCACCACGAGGCTGTCTGGGACGCGTAATTTGGACAGACGATAGAAGAAATCTATGAAAAGTCAGAAGAAATCTATGAAAAGTCAGAAGAAATCTATGAAAAGTTTGATTTTCCGCTTGGCTCGGGAGCAGCTGCTGCTGGATTCCCCCAGGGCTCGCTCAGCCTGGCACAAGAGCAATGGGATTTCATCACTTATTTCCCAGATCTGGGATCCCGTTCTGCCACACTGGGTCACAATCAGACAGAAAGAACCCAAAATCGGGGCTGGATCTTGTTTCTTTTGCATCTTTCTATCAAAAGAAGCATCAGCACCTGGCTGGCGGTTGAAGAACCACTTAATCCCTGTGGTGAACCCACATCAAAGTCACGGCAGCTGAAAATAAACAATCTGTGCTCGCTGGGAACATCACCACAACCACCATTACTGCTGATTTTTCTTTTGGGATGGCCACCAGCTCCTGGTTCTTGTGCCCTTCTCCAAATCCTTGTGCGCTGTGGGCATCAGCAGATGCGAGGGTGAGCCGGTAGAAATGGGAGCTTTGGAGTTTTCCCAAGGAAAGCAGGAGGACAAAGCACAATGGCAGCATTCATCCTGCCTGCAGTGCCATCCTGCCCTCATTGTTCTGCGAAACAAAAGAAATCCAAGAGGGACGCGGTCGCAAAATGACTTCAAGCGTCAAGAATCGCTCTGCCAGAAACAAAACCCAAAAAAACCCCCAGGGAAAATTGAAAACTATTAATTAAAAAGCATTGAGAAAACCACTCATTAAGAAACGAGTTACTTGAACTCTAGAAAAGCAAAATTATTGCTCAATTATTGCTCTCAGAGATGGAGGGAGGCCAAGAGCCAGGGAGAAGGAGCTGTCCTGCAGCAACACCAGAGGTCTGAGCTGCAGATGTCCCTGTTCTGAACGTGGTTTATCATTTATATTTATCTCCTGAGAATTCTCTTGTCAGCAACTGCTTTTCTGAGCTGTGCTCCTGCTCTACAAACTCACAGTGTTGGCACTTCTTTCATCAGGCAACAGTTACATCTCCTGATGTAAAAGATGTTGAAATATTTGGTCTTTCACCTCTTTTTAAGTGAAGAAACTGCCAACAAGTAATTTTTTTACCGTGAATTGTAACTGTTGACTGTGGTATCATCATTGCTGCTGTGTGTAGAAACAGCTTCATTAATACAATAATTAATTTAAAAATTAATTTATGCAAGTAGACAGTGTCTCTAAAGCAAGGAGACTCAGCACAAGGGTGGGGATGAGGGAGCAGGAGGGACCCTCGCTTCTTTTTTGGGGTGAAAATCCCAGAATCACAGAATGGTTGGGGTTGAAGGGACTTCTGGAGATCATCCAAGGCAGGGTCACCTGGAGCAGGTGATGCAGGACCACATCCAGGCGGGGTAGGAATGTGTTCCTTCTCATGTTCAGGTGAAACTCGTTGTTTATGTTGTTTATGGCCATTACTCCCCGTCCTGTTGCTGGGCATCACCAAAAAGAATCCAGGATCATCCTCTGGCACTCCTTGGAGATGTTTCTATGGATTGATAGGATCCCCTCCCTGCTCCAGAAGACCCCAGGAATCCATAGAAATAAAATAAAATTTTATTTCTGTGAAGAATAAAATAAAAATAAAAGAATAAAATTAAAAAGAAGAATAAAATAAAATAAAATTTTATTTCTCCTCTACTGAAGGGCTGAATTCCAAGAGGTTTTTGGAGGCTCCTTTTCCACAGAGAACGATTCCCTGAAGGCTGGAACACTTTCCATGGCGATTTGGGTGTTTACTGTGCCTGAAGGTGCCACGGGCTCAGGTTTATTGTGCTTTAGGAGTTTATTGTGACCCATGGTCCCTCACAGATTTAGGTGTTTATTGTGACCCATGGTCCCTCACAGATTTAGGAGTTTATTGTGACCCATGGTCCCTCACAGATTTAGGAAATTATTGTGACCCATGGCCCCTCACAGATTTAGTGTTTATTGTGACCCATGGTCCCTCACAGATTTAGGAGTTTATTGTGACCCATGGTCCCTCACAGATTTAGGAAATTATTGTGACCCATGGTCCCTCACAGATTTAGGAGTTTATTGTGGCTGAGGACCCTACAAGAGCGCGTTGATCCCTATTCAGGTGTTTATTGTGGCTGAAAGTCCCACAAAGACGACGGTTTAACACTAATTACGTGTTTATTGTGACAGAGGATCCTACAAAGGCGGGTTTAACGCGATTTAACTGTTTATTGTGACCAGGGATCCCGCACGCGCCTATTTATCACAATTTAGGCGCTTATTGCAGCTGAAGGTCCGACAGACGCAGGTCTATCGCTATTTAAACGCTCATTATGACCAAATGATGCCCAAGCCCGGGTTTAACAGCAGTTTAGGCGTGTGTTTATTTATTTATCGCCGCCATCGCGGCCGCTCCGGCGCGGCGCCTCAGGCGGGCGGAGGGGGCGTGGCCGCCGCTCGGCCCCGCCCCACGCGCGGCGTTGCGGAAGTGACGCAGCCGCGGTGACCTTCAGCGGCGGCGTGCGGGTGTCGGGCCGGGCCGTGCCGCTCCCTCCGCTTCCCTCGGGGCTGCCTCCGCTTCTCGCCGCCATGCCCAGGGGCAGCCGCAGCCGCACGTCCCGCGTGCCGCCCCCCGCCAGGTGAGGCCGGCGGGGGCCGCTTCTCCTGCTCCCCGCTGCCCCGCGCAGGCCGCAGTGGCCTGGCCGCCATGGTGCGGGCGGTGACGCGCCGGGGTGGGCCCGGCTGGGCTGGCCGTGGGTTAGGGGACGATTTGGGGGATGGCAGTGGGTCTGCTCGGCCGCAGGGCCGGGACACCAGCACCGTGGCAATCTGCTTTTGGGTCACGCTCTGTTTTTCCCCAAAGCAGCTGTGTGAGCAGAAAGAAGCATGTAACCCTGACCTTGTCTTGCATAAGACGCGTACCAGAACGCCGAGTTCATTCCTTCTGCGTGTAACAGGGGTGTGTGTAGCCCCAGCGCGATCCCGGGGCCTCCCGCGCAGCGCCCTGTGTGACACTGCGTGTCCCCTCCAGCTGGGCACATTCCAGCAGGAGCGCTGCACTGCCGGCCCTGCAGCCACGCGGCCTCTGCCCGGCGCGGTTTGGGATCGTGATGATGATGATGAAGTGATGTTTCTCTCTGTGTCCCTGCAGCCGGGCACCCCCCAGGAGAGCCGCGTCTCCAGCCCCGGTTCCTCGGGCCTCTGTCCCCGCAGCGGCTCCGCCTTCCGCCGTGGCGGCGCCGGCCCCGAAGCAGCCGGGGCTGATGGCCCAGATGGCCACAACCGCTGCCGGCGTGGCCGTGGGCTCGGCCGTGGGACACACCATCGGCCACGCCATCACCGGAGGATTCAGTGGAGGGGGCAGCTCCGAGGCTGCCAGGCCTGATGTCACCTACCAGGTGAGGGGGAGCGTGGCTGGGCACTGGCTGAGGGAGTTGCTGGAGCCTTAAACACCACAGGAGTCGCAGCTGGGGTGCTTACAGTCTTTATATAATCTATATAAAACTATATATAGTCTGTAATTGCAGACTGAATCTCCAAGGTAACCCACCGTGAGTCATCTTAAAAAGAGTTCAGAGGGATGTAGGAGGGATGTGGGCAAGGTGTTGGTGTTATCTTCTACTGCATTCCTCTCATTCAAGCAGGACTTCCATGTTCCAGGTCTGATGTTGGGGAGACCTTTGCTCAGCTGCCATCCAGAGTTACCTGAGTGTACCAAAATCACTCACATTTAAAAACTGCTCTGCATGTGGCATTCTGCTGCTGGAAAATTGTTTTGTACTTTAGCCCTTCACTTGTTTTCCATAAAAAAAAGGTTTTGACTGAAATTCAGGGAAGAACCCATAGCAAGCCGTGTGGGGCTTGTTGGAAGGGCTTGTTTGGTGTTGTTGGAAGGGTCCTTATGGAGCCATTTGGTGTTTCAGGAGCCCCAGGCAGCTCAGGCTGCCCAGCAGCAGCAGCAAGGTCCTTGCCAGTATGAGATGAAACAATTCCTGGAGTGTGCCCAGAAGCAGACTGACCTCAAGCTGTGCGAGGGCTTCAGTGAGGTGCTCAAGCAGTGCAGGATTTCCAATGGTGAGTACACAGTGCTGGCAGGCAGCTGTTACATGGGATAATCAGTAAATGAATCATGGGAATGATGTCCTGGGGGTTTGATCCAGCTGGGGAGTGATGAAGGTGCTCTGAAGTCAGGTAAAGCAGCTGCTGTTCTGTTGAACTTCATGCTGTGGTCCTGTGGGGTGGAGAGAGGGTAAATTCCTGATGCTTTGTGCTGGTGCATGGCTTGAAGATGACTGGAAAAGAGGCAGCAGCACATTTGGGGCATTAGCAGAGCTCTAAAGAGAAAACCATCCTGTCCTGGGAGGAAGGAGGCAGCTGTGCAGCAGTGCTGATGTCTGCAGCTCAGCATATCCCAGCAAGTGCAGGAGGGGAGGGGGAACACCCTGACAAATCTGTCCTGTGGCAGGGAAAGCACCTTCCATTCAGGGATCCAAAATTTGCTGAGATACCTCCTTATCCTTCCATTCAGGGATCCAAAACTCACTGAGAAAACTTTATCCTTACATTCAGGGATCCAAAACTCACTGAGATAACTTTCCCTTTCAGGTTTGGCCTAAGCTTGTACAAGGAGGCTGCTGAAGATCATCTTGCAAGAACTGGCCTGTGAATGAAAAACAAAAAGCTTCAGTAATAAAGTTTAAAGCTGTCTGGTATCTTGTTAGTTCATATATTCACACTGTCATCTCTGTGGCTTGACTTCTGCCATAGCTGCCTCTGATGTGATCCAACCTCACAGCTGCAATTTAATTTAGCACAAAATGGAAGAGTTGAATAGTAAAGCAGAATGAGCTAACGTGGGTTTTACTGGGTTTGCTGATTGTTGTGTTGAATGTATGTAATGTCTATAAATAAACTTCTCTCTCTAGAAGTACCTTGTGTTAGTTGAGTGCTGGAGTAGAAGGGTGAGGAGGTGAGAATTGATTTTGGCAGGGTGCTCTGCAGATGTTTCTTGTTGTGCTGTAATAGGGCTGAACCATGAGAGGATGGGCCTGTAGCCTTCTCTCCTGCCTGGCTCAGGCAAGTTACAAAGCCATGGCTGCTACATGAAAATAAAGTATTTACTGATGCAAAGTGCAACCCTTCCTTTTCCCATCAGAGGGAGCAGCCACGTCATTCCTTACTCAAATCCTCGGGGCTGATAAAGTAAACACCCCCTGGTCATCGCTGGACAATCCTGCATAAGCTGTGCTCCCACCAGGAACTGTGGTGGGGAATGACCCTGTTCTGAAAAGTGCAGTTCCTGTTAAAATAGTTTCCCTAGCATAACCTGTTTTCCCTGATGTGTTATGCCCATTCCTAAAGCACTTCACCTGCATCTCCTGGAAGTGAAAAGATTAAATCAGCGCTCAGAAGGGAGAGGAGCCGCCTCGCACAGTGGGGGTGAGGACAGAGCTGCCTGTCCTGGTGACAGGAGCAGCTTCGCCTCTGCTGACCAAGCTCCCATCTCATTTCTGAGGCGTTTCACCGTCCTGCTGAAACTAAAAACCAGTGGGTGGTTTGGGCCGCTCTCTGACAAGAGGAAATGGCCTTAAGCTATACAGGGGAGATTCGGTTAGATATTAGGGGAAAAAAAAAAAAAAAAACAAAAAAAAAACCAACCCTGTTTGGGTGGTCAGGCATTGGAATAGTTCCCAGAGAAGCTGTGGAGTCACCATCCCTGGCAGTGTCCAAGAGGTGCCCGGTCCTGAGTGCGGACAGAGCGGCTCGCTGCTCACGGTGGCAGCGCTGGCACCGGCTGCCCTTAAAGCTCCTTCCCGGCTCCGTGCCGTGCCGTGCCGTGCCGGGGCAGCCCCGGCTCCGCGCTCCGTGCCGTGCCGTGCCGTGCCGGGGCAGCCCCGGCTCCCGGCGGCCCCACAGCAGCAACGCCCCCGGGGAGGAGGAGCCGGGGCCCGCCGTACCCGGCGGCGGAAGGGTTAAACCGGGGAAGTGCCGCAGCCCCGGGGCGGCCCCCGGCCCCCCCGTGCCCGTAGCCCGGCCATGCCCGCCCGGCTCCCGCCGCTGCCAACTCGCGCTGCGCTTTCTCCGGGGCCGGGCGGCGGCGGGCCCTGAGCGCTCGGCTCCCGGCGGCTCCCGGCGGCTCCCGGCGGCAGGCCCGGGCCCAGCCCGGCGCCCCCTCAGCGAGGTGAGGAGCCGGCGGCGCTGAGGGAGGGTTGTGAGGGGGGTCCTGCCCCGGGAAACTCCCGTGCTCAGCGTTCTCTGGCTCCGGGTCGGGGCTGGAGCGCCCCTGCGCTGAGGGAGAGGGGCCGCGCTGCCCTGCCGCTCTGAAAGCTTGCTTTTTTCTTGAGCTTTGCGGGTTTATCCCGGTGGATATTTGGAATATCTTTGTTCTCCTCAGAGATCCCCCCGTCTGGCAGCTGCGGGCGGGGGCGATGCCCAGCGCCGCACCCTCAGTGTTCCTCCCGGCAGAAAATCCCCTCACGACCCCCCTGCACTCTGCCAGTGAACCCAGGGTGTCCCGATAGAGCCCTGCACCTGCTGCTTTCATAATTCCAGGGTGTTTTAAATAAGCTCCCGAGTTCTTCCCTCCCAGGAGAAGGCAGCACGCAGGTTCCAGGCTTCTCCCGGCAGTGCTCCGTGGATGCTCCCCAGCCTCCAGCCCTTCCCCACAACACCAACCCCCAGGACCTGGATTTTCACAAATAATCAGTTTTGTTTACCCCCCCGCCACCTCAGAGATATTTTATTTTCCCTACTTCCTGGTCCTGCCTCTCCTTTGTGATATTAGCGTGGTTTGGAATTACTCATAGTATTTCCAACAACAAAAATTTTGTAAGTTAAGGTCACAGTTGTTTAGAAGTGCTCCAGCCTGTTTTAGACTTCGCTGGCAGCAGCAGCCAGACACCCAAAACACACTTTGGTCCTTAAAACCAGGTCAGGACAGATAACACATTGCTAATGAGATTTAAATGTACTTAGAGCTGCCAATGCCCTGGCAGAGCTATTGAAAGGAGGGCAAAGGGAAGCTCACAGAACTGGGGATTTCCTGCCCACCTCTGTTCCCTCCCCAGCAGCAAACTGTCATCCCAAAGGGACAGTTTTGCTGCCCGGGCTTGTAAGAACTGCTTTCCATCCTAACTGTCTGGACTCCGTGTATGGGCACAGAAACAAGCTGCATAAAAATCCCTCCAAGCCTGAAATAGGAAAAAGAAATGGGACAGGAGCCTTTCAGGAGTTGTGGAGGCTGCTGGCAGCTGCACAGGGGTGGCTGAGGGAGCTCTTTGAGCTGCTGTCCTCACGCTGGCTCAGCTCCCGCTGTCCCCAGTCCCTCTGTCCCCACCTGCACCCTGACCCACCCGGCCCCTCTTGCTGCTTCACTGGCCCTCACCACCTCTTTTTCCTCCTCAGTCCATTTCTATTCCCTTCAAACACTATTTTCCCTCCTTATTCTCAGCCAAAGACAACTTTGTAATCTTAAAAGTAACAAGGAAATGAAAGAGAAAATCATCAGGGGCAGATTGCAGCTTCCAGATTCCACGTGGGGCGGTGTTGGTGTGGGATGGTGTTTCTGGAGGCTGCTGGGAACAGGGAAGGGATGAGGTTTTGGGGTGCTGCAGCATTTCCCAAAGCCTTGGCCCCAGCCAGGCTGGTTCTGCCCCTGGAGACAGCCAGGCTATGAGGGAATCCAGTGGGGTTTCTCCTGTTCCCAGTGGGATCTCTGCAGCATCCCAAGGGCAAAGCTTGGCTTTTCCAAGCAGCAGAACACCCCCTTTGGTTGGTCCAGGATCTTCCTTCTCTTCCTTCTTCCTCAATGTTTTTTCTTCCATAAGGGATTGATGATCCCAGCTCTGGGGGCAGTGAGTGCCCATCCTGGCTCTTTTTTCCTTGCAGCTCCTTTCTGCCCCTAGACAAGCCCAGAGCGCAGCCAAAGATGACCAAGGAAGAAGATCTACCAGACTGGAACTCATCCAAGGAGTTTTATGAAAAATATGAGCCGAAGGAGGTTTTGGGCAGGTAAAGCTTTATTTTTGGCAAGCGGCTTGTTTTGGTTTCGCGTCCTCCAGTACCAGACAGGAACAGTGTTCCCTGGGAATCTGATACAAACAGGGCCCACAGCAGCATGGGGCTAAAAATAGCATGGAACAGCACTTTCCATCAGCTCAAAACCTCCTGTCCCACCGAGACAGGGTGACAGAGCGAGACCCGCTGGTGCATGAAAATCCCGGCCAGCCCAGGTGCCGGTGGCTGGGCAGGCAGGGTGGAACCCCCCTTTTGTCCCTGTTGTCCCTGGCAGGGGGGTGAGCAGCGTGGTCCGGCGGTGCATCCACAAAACCACGAGGCAGGAATACGCCGTGAAGATCATCGACATCACGGCGGGGAACATCTCCCCCAAGGAGGTGCAGGAGCTGCGGGAAGCCACCACCAAGGAGATCGACATCCTCCGCAAGGTCTCGGGCCACCCCAACGTCAGTAAGTCAGGCCCTGAGCATCCACTCAAGGGCAATTTCTGCCCTCTGTGTTCCTCAGGGTGTCCCCAGGAAGGGTTTTTGGGGTGAAATCCCTGGATGATGCCAGGCACCTGCTCAGAGCACTGTTTGCTCTCCCTCCACACACACACCCCGGCAGTGCCCCCCATGTTGTCTCCCAAGCACCACACTTGTGAAGATCAGCTCCTCGTTAACTCAATTAGCAGTTTAATCAGATTTTTAGTCCACTGATGGACAGGAACACTGTGCTCACAGCCCCTGTGCTTTATTACAGTCCAGCTGAAGGACAGCTATGAATCCAGCACCTTCTTCTTCTTGGTGTTTGACCTGTAAGTACCAGCTGGCTCAGCACCCTGAGCCCACTCCCTCTCTGCAGATTGGTCCCAGCTTTTTATGGCCCAAAAATGGCAAAGTGGAGGGACAAGCAGTCCTTAAGGTAGAACCAAGCCCCAGTTAGTGCAAGCTCATTGCAGCTCTGCTGCCAGCACTGTTTTCCCTCTGTCAGCGGCTCAGCACTGCTCGGGTTTCCCTGTAACCTTTGGTGGGAGCTGTCATGCATCCCTGAGGGTTATTTATATGCTCGGTGGGACCAGGGTGTCTGCAAAGCCACAATTCCCAATGCCAGGGCACTGCAGTGGATGTCAGAGGAGTGGGGTGGCACTGGAGAGCCCCATCCCTGCCCCATCTTTGATGGTTGGACTTGGTGATCTTACAGATCTTTTCCAACCTTAACAATTGTGTTTCTACCAAAACCTGCCCTCTTCAGGCACAGCTTCTCCTTCTGCCTGATATTTTACTGAAATATATAAAGGCACTTTTACCCCTTTTAATGAAAGTTATTTTGGGCTGTTAAGGGGCACAGACCCCTCACTGATCCTCCCCAGAGACTCAGGGCTGGTTTGCTGTTGCAGTTCAGCCTCTGCCTGACTCTGTGTCCCCTCCCTCATGTAGGATGAAGAGAGGGGAGCTCTTTGACTACCTCACTGAGAAAGTCACCTTGAGCGAGAAAGAAACCAGGTAAGGCCAGGTGCAGAGGGGTGAAAATCACCTTGCAAGAGCAGAGTGTGGTTTGAGGGGCGAGCACAGTACCCTGGGCTGTGTCCCTGTGCACTGTCCCATTCCCTGGGATCATGGTGCCAGTGGGTATTTGGGACAGGGAATGAGCTGTCCCCATCCCCAGGAAGATCATGCGAGCGCTGCTGGAAGTGATCCAGTACCTGCACTCCATCAACATCGTCCACCGGGACCTGAAGCCGGAGAACATCCTGCTGGATGATGACATGAACATCAAGCTGACAGATTTTGGCTTCTCCTGCCAGCTGAATGAGAATGAGAAGCTCAAAGGTAGGGGGCTGGCGAGGTGGGGGAATGCTGGGCTGTGAGTTTTTCCAGCCCCACTCTCTCCTTGTCACCAGTCTCACCTAGGGGTGCAAATTGGTGCTGTTTGGCTGCTTTTGCTGTCCTCACACATAGGTTCTGCCTGCACACAGCCTCCACGCCTCTCTCCTTGCCATGAAGAAGTTACTGCTCTTTAGGAGAACCATCCTAATCCATTCCACTTCTTTTTTCCTGCAGTTGATCCCCATTACCTCATCCACTTACTGCCCCAACTTGTTTCCCCCCAGCTCCTACATGCAAAGAGCCACAAACCCAACAACAGGCATCCCCTTCCACAAGCATTCGTATAATTTTCTTTGCTCACTTTTTAGCTGGAATAATTCACCAAAAAAGTCACCAGTGAGATGCACACAGGTTGCAGTTCCTCCCTGTGAGCACCATCCCTGCAAAGATCCCACCATGGGCTGCCTGGAGGTGGGTGGGAATGGCACCTGGGTTGATGCTGTGCCCTTGTCCCTGTCCCCACAGAGATCTGTGGCACTCCTGGCTACCTGGCCCCCGAGATCCTGCAGTGCTCCATGGATGATGAGCACCAAGGCTATGGGAAGGAGGTGGATATGTGAGTGAGAAGCTGTTCCCTAAAAAACACACCTGGTTTGAGGCATGACCAGAATTGTGCCCATGGGGACCTGTTTGAGAGTTTGGAAAGAATGAAACGATGCACCAAAAGCCAATATTGGTGACTGTGAGGGGCTGTCTGGGTCACCGGGGGGTTCTGGCACAGAACAGGGGGTTAAGCAGTGTGGGGACAAACCCATCTCCTCCCTTTGCCCCATTGTGGGAGGGAAACCAACACTTTCTGTTCATGGAAGTCAACTTAGGCTGAGCTCCGAAACATGAGGGTTTTAAACACTCCTTGTGCAGCCCCTGAGAGAGCAGCCAGCTCAGGGCAGCCCACCAGAGCTTTGCAGGGACTTTGCCACCACCTCTGGTGGCTTCAGGCTGCAGTGATCAGAGTTGTGACACACAACAGGGCATTTCATCCCCTTTCCAGTCTGAGCCAGGACACCTGGCACTGCACAGCCTGAGCTGTGCCCGAGGGCATCCAGCCTGGCTGGCATCACCAAGCCCCACTCCCTTCCCTAAAAAACTCTGCAGGGGCCAAATACTCCATCTCAAGGCATCCTCCTGCAGCATCCAGGGAACAACTCCCCATCAGCTCAGCTCAAACCCCGCTCCAGCTCAGCTCAGCCCCCCTCCCCAGGCACACCCAGGGCAGTTCCCTGCCGGTTTCCCTGCTGCTTTCCCCGGGGTGCAGAGCCAGCTGGGTGCCCCGGCGGTGGCACGGGGGTGCTGCAGGCTCCGTGTGGGCTGCCCACAGGTGGAGCACGGGGGTGATCATGTACACCCTGCTGGCCGGCTCGCCGCCCTTCTGGCACCGCAAGCAGATGCTGATGCTGCGCATGATCATGAACGGCGATTACCACTTCGGCTCCCCGGAGTGGGACGACCGCTCCGACACCGTCAAGGACCTGGTAGGTGCTCGGGCGGGGTGGAGGGGGTGTTGCAGAGGCCTGGGGCAGCCCAGCCTGAGCGGTGCCCCTGCAGATCTCGCGGTTCCTGGTGGTGGACCCGCGGCAGCGGTACACGGCGGGCGAGGCGCTGGCACACCCCTTCTTCCAGCAGTACGACGTGGAGGAGGTCCGGCACTTCAGCCCCTTCCGCAAGTTCAAGGTGGGGATGAGGCTGGGAGCTGCAGGAGCCAGCAGTGGGATGGGTTTGGGAGAAGCTGGGGGTTGGGTAAGGCTGATGGGGCTGGGTTTTGGGAGGACGCGGCAGCCTGGGCAGCCCAGGCATTCTCTCACAGGAGGGAGTTAAGGGAGAAGGGAGAAACTGCCTCTCACCTCCAAAAAAAACATTGAAAGAGCTGGAGAGTTCAGCCTGGAGAAGAGAAGGTTCCAGAGAGATCTTAGAGCCCTTTCCATTGCCTAAAGAGGCTCCAAGAGAGCTGGAGAGAGACTTTGGACAAGGGATGGAGTGACATGGCAAGGGGGAATGGCTTCCCACTGCCAGAGGGCAGGGTCAGATGGGATAGTGGGAAGAAATTCTTAGATGTGAGGGTGCTGAGGCCCTGGCAGAGGTTTCCCAGAGAACCTGACTGCCCCATCCCTGCAAGTGTCCAAGGCCAGGTCAGACAGGGCTTGGAGCAACCTGGGATAGGGGAAAACATCCCTGCCCACGTCAGGGAGTAAAATGGGCTTTAAGTTCCCTTTTAACTCAAACCGTGCTGTGATTCTGTGATTCCCTGGCATGAGCCCTGTGCCAACCCTGCAGAAGCTAAACTGTGCCAGGCACTGAGCTCCTTCCTGACTCCCACATGAGGTGATCCACTGGGACCACCCCATTGAGGGAATCCCTCTGAATGCCAGGCTGTTGTGGGAGAATCCCTCTGAATGCCAGGCTGTTGTGGGAGAATCCCTCTGAATGCCAGGCTGTTGTGGGAGAATCCCTCTGAGTCCCAGGCTGTTGTGGGAATTCCTGGATGTTGTGGGAATTCTCCTGAATGCCAGACTGTTGTGGGAGAATCCCTCTGAATCCCAGGCTGTTGTGGGAGGATTCCCCTGAATCCCAGGCTGTTGCTCTGAATCCCAGGCTGTTGCTCTCAATCCCAGGCTGTTGCTCTCAATCCCAGGCTGTTGCTCTCAATCCCAGGCTGTTGTGGGGATCCCCCTGAACGCCAGAGGCCGTTGTGGGAGGATTCCCCCGACAGCCAGGCTGCTCCCCGTTGCCCAGGTGATCTGCCTGACCGTGCTGGCCTCAGTGAGGATTTACTACCAGTACCGGCAGGCGAAGTCGGTGACGCGGGAGCTGGTGCTCAGGGACCCGTACGCGCTCAAGCCCGTCCGCAAGCTCATCGACGCCTGCGCCTTCCGCACCTACCGCCACTGGGTGAAGAAGGGGGAGGCCCAGAACAGAGCTGCCCTCTTCGAGAACACCTGCAAGGCCATCCTGCTCACCCTGGCAACCGAGGAGGGGCTGTTCTGATCGCTGCCCCAGCTCCTGGTTTGGCTCACAGTAAGGCGAGTAAAATCTTGGAAAACAAAACGGTGATTTTGGGGGTTTTTAAATTTTATTTCACTTGGTTCAGGAGTGGTGCAAATACAAACCCAGGAAACAAGCTCCTGGGGTTTGGAGAAGCCACACTGAGCAGAGCCAGCACCAGCTGCAGTTCCCCATGGGGAAGGCTCAGCCCTCAGGCACCTGCAGTGCCTGTTTTGGGACAGTTGGAGCTGGATGAGGGATCCCTGAGCAGTGTTCTTGCCCACCCTTCTTGCCCTGGTCAGGTTTGGTGCAGAGCTCGTGCACAGAGAGTTTGTGCTGGTTATAACTCCTGGGAGAGGTGGGGCACTGGTTTGTCACACACATCTGTCACACAAATCATTTTGTCACCGCTCAAATGCCAATGAAGGTGCCTTGTTTTGCTTCTGGGAAGGCTCAGCACTGCTCCAAAGCTGGGACTTCCCAAGGGAATGGGGACTGATTATGACTCCCCCTTCCAGGGATGTGCCCCCATCACTTCCCCCCTGGCAGCCCCACCCTGATGGTCACAGGGGGCTGTGGGTGTCCCCTCACTGGGGCTGGAGGTCACAGCAGCTCTGGCCCAGTCCCACACATGCATCCCTCTGCTTTACACGGACAACAGGAGAGCTGGAGTATCCCCCACACCAAAAGGACACTAAAGACAAACCCCCCTTCCTGCCTTCCCAATCACTGCTCCCACCCAGCACTGAAAAGATTGAAATGATTTTTAATTTTAGAAACAACTGGGGTTTAATGGAAGTGACAGCTGGGGGTTACTGTTCATCTCCACAGGAGAAAACGCCTCAGGTGTTGCCAGTGAGGCCTCAGAGCTCAGCTTTGCTCTGGCCTTTCCAGGCTGGCACGGGCGGGACGTCGGCAGCGCAGCGGAAGCTGAGGTTGTCAGAGGCAGAGTCTGGTGTGTTCCCCATCCTCACAGGGAAAGAGAGACCCAAAATTAGGGATCCTTCCTTGTTACACATATCCCTAATATGTTACAACACTCACAACCCTAGTGTGACCTGCTGGAACAGCCTAAAAACATCTTCCAATTCCCCTGAATAACTTAGGCAAAAGCATTTCATTATTAATACCTGTTGAAAACACATGATTTGAGAAGCATTTAGGAATGGATTTGTAGCAGGGGTGGTTTTAGCCATATTTGTAGTGTGCTCTGCCAACTGCTTCTCAAAAAAATTGTGTAGGAACAAACATCTTTTAAAATAAAACCAACCCAGAGAAAATCCTTGTGCAGCAGCACCTGGGCTTTGGCCAGACCTACCTGGTGGTGACACGAGCTCTGTGGTTTGCAGAGCCATCTGCAGTGTCAATCCACGAGGCCCCTCTCAGCACCTGCATCTTCTGGGCCCTGGATGCCCTTCCTGGAGCCAGGAATTCTGATGCTGTCCATTCCCAGGTGTTTCCCAGCAGGTCATAGAGCCCTGAGATGGTTTTGTGTCAGAATTAGGAGAGCAGGTGTGCAAGAAATGTAAATTTGGTGTGTGGGAAGGGGAAAAACAGTCAAAGGATCATTCAAGAGTGTGGTTTAGTGGTGAGGCTGAAGAAATTCCTCAATGTATTTCAAACAGTGCACGAGGACATGGCAGCCAGAAAATGTCCTTGGCATTTTTGTTACACCCCACTGAGCTGCAAAACAACCCAGTTTTAATTAGAAGGAGCTGGTTTGGTGCCTGAAGTGCAGCAGCTGCACCTCAGCCAACTCCAGCACCGAAGTCAATGCTTTTCCTGGGCTCACTTACTCTACTCCAGATCCCACACGTCTGAAACTCTGCCCAGCTCCAGGATATGATAATTAACATTAATTAGGGGGCAGATGCCATCCCCAAAGCAGGGTGAGGGTGCTCTGTACCGTAGCTGTTCTGGGCAGGGAAGGCTGTCACCGGGGAGACGCCGTGGTAGCCGTCCTCAGCCGTGTCCCCCCGAGGGAAGGCACCCTGGGGAACAGAGATCACTCCCAGCAAAGAACCACCCCGGAAACAACCCCAAATCCTGCTCCTCACAGGGCTCTGCCACACTTCAAGTAGGCACATAACTCTCTGGTGTCAATTTATGTTGGTCAAGAGAGATCAACTTGAAGTTGTCCCAAGTTCCCTCTTCAAATAAATTTATGTGTGACTTTTTAGAAGCAGTAAAATCCCGGGCCTGTTCCCTTTGAAGGTATTTTTACAACCCCCCAGAAGCTGAGTTTCTGAGTTGAAACACCCACAGTGTTTCCCAGAACAGCCTGACTCAGTGGCTGAGTGAAACCCCACCCTGAGGACAGCCCAGCACGGATGGGATGATTTTTAGCATCTTACCTGCCACAGGTTTGTACGGTTTGGCTGGAACTTGTTTCCCCAGGGATACATCCTTTCTGCCAGGGAGAAAAAGACACTTCTTAGCCCAGGCTTTTAGGATTGTCCTTTTCTGCTCAGCTTAGAATACTGAGATATTATTAATATTATCACCCTCTCAGGCCAAAAGAGGTGGTTTAACCCCCCCAGATCAACATCTGAAAACATCCCTGGAGGGAGGTTTGCATCTGGTGGAACTAACACCCCTCCATGCCTGCTCTGGGAAAAGCTCAGAGCTTGTGCTACGTACGCTCCAGTCCTCCCCTGGCAGCAAATTCCCACTCCTCCTCCGACGGGAGCCGCTTCCCTCTCCAGGCACAGAAGGCCTGAGCATCGTTCCAGCTCACGTGCAGCACTGGGTAATGCAGCCTGTCCTTGATGCTGGAGCCAGGGCCGGAGGGCTGGGAGGGATTGAAGCAGATTTGAATTCATTTTACACAGTTTTTGTTACAAAGGGAGTAAGGGGTGGAAGAGATGAAAAGATGGAAAGTGGTTTTTCACGTTTTTGGTCAATAAGGTTCAGCACACACAACACACGAGCTCCCAGCATGGAGAGGAGTCACCACACCAGGATTTTATCACACCAGGATTTTACCACACCAAGGTTTTACCATACCAGGGTTTTACCATACCGGGATTTTTCACACCAGTATTTTATCATACCAGGATTTTACTCACACCAGGATTTTGGCACACCAGAATTTCACTCACACCAGGATTTTATCACAGCAGGATTTTATCACAGCAGGATTTTACCACAGCAGGATTTTATCACAGCAGAGTTTTACTCACACCAGGATTTTATCACACTAGGTTTTTACCACACTGGGATTTTTCACACCAGAATTTTATCACACTAGGGTTTTATCACACCAGGTTTTTACCATACTGTGATTTTTCACACCAGGATTTTACTACACCAAAATTTTACCACACCAGGATTATATCACACCAGAATTTTTCCACACCGGGATTTTTCACACCAGAATTTTTCCACACCAGGATTTTTCCACACCGGGATTTTACTCACCTGTCTCCAAAAAGCCTTCTCAATGGGCAGCCACCACGGGGCTGACTGGGGAAAGAAATGACAGCAAGATTAAAGGTGAACTGGTGACACCTGGGCTGGTGCCACGGTCCCACAGCAGCGTGTGTTAGTCTGGGAAATGCTGCAGTTGGAGCTGGGTTATCACAGACATTTGGATGCTGCTTTTCCACAGAGCAGAGGCTTTTAAAAGTGAAAATAGATCAGGAGGCTCACACTGTTCATTTTTCTATATTAAAATTAGATTATTGAAGTACTTTGAAACACATTTTACTTCCTCCCAGCTCCCAGACTGACAGCTCACAGAGCATGGAAACAGAGGAGCACATGAATCAACCTCAGCTCAGTCCTGCTGAGGTTCAAAAGCAAAATAACCCCAGACTAAAGAAAAACCTCTGAGAACAGCAGGCTCTGCAGAGCTGCTCCTCGGTGGAAAAGCAACACCAAACTCATCACAGGATTCAGATTTACCTCCAGTTTTTGGGTGACTTTTTTTTTCAGCTCTTCAGATACGAAATCCTCAAAGACAAAGCTCCAGCCAAATGCTTCTGCTTCTGTTTTGTATTTCTTTTCTCTAACAAACTCCCTGGCATAAATACAACATGCTCTGGGTAAGACTTCTTCAAGCTCTGCCTCACAAATCTGCTTGTGCAACAAGTTCAGAGCAAGGCAAAAGGTACAAAACTTACAAAATCCCCCCAGCTCCAGATGTTTTAATTTAGATTTAACAGATAAAACAGTCTTTGCACAGATTTGATACTTTTAATGTTACCTGTGCAGGTAAACTCAGCCTGCACTCAGGTTTCCATAACTGCAGAGAGAAAAAATCCCTTAAAAGTCAATAACACCTGTGGCTGCTGTTAGTGGAAGAGGAGAAGAAGAGAGGAAGAGAAAGAGAAGAGAGAAAAAGAGAGGAAAAGAGTGGAGAGAGAAGAAAAGAGGGAAAGAATAGGGAGAGGAGAGGGAAAGGAGGAGGAGAAGAAAAAGAGAGGAAGAAGAGGAGGAGAAGGAGAGGAGGAGGGAAAAAGGAAGAGGAGGAGATGGAAAAGGGAAGAAGAAAAAAGAGGAAAGAGAGAGGGAAAAGGACAAAAAAAGGAAATAAAATTATGTTTGCAAGGCACACTGCCACGATGGTTCAGCTTGCACCTGTGACAGTGATTTCCCATTGACATTTTTTTCCCAATGAGCACCCAAGCATTGATTTTCAGACCCCAGGAACAGCCGGCACCCACCTGGCCGTGCCCCTCCCCACGGCACCCGGGGCACGGCGGGCTCACCTGAAGTCCCCGTTTGTCACCGGCTGTTTGTCCAGAGCAAAGGGCTTCACTGTCACCGCCCTGGCGGGCGCCTCCTCGCCCGTCCTGTGCCCGGAGCCGGCTCCCATCTGGAAGGTGCCCCCGGGCAGCTGCACCATGCTGCCATCCTCTCCGAGCGCTGAAAAGGGACACATTTCATTTACAGCATTCATTTTTAAACACTGGCGAGGCGCAGCTAGCGACAGCATGTCGCAGCCTGAGCTGGAGGGGGTGACAGCGATCGCTGTCCGCACAGCTCAAAGCATTTCACATCCCGTTTTCGGGAAGGGGGCGATCCCCGGCCGGGAGGGGGATGCCGGGGGGTTTGGGGATGCCG